CAAACTGGCTTTTATATTAGATTTTTTGTTCTATTTCAAGTCCCCCAAGTGAACCAGTCCCTCTATATTCAAAAGACAAAAGCAAACTAATTCTGACACCCAGCTGTGTAGCCATTTGTAAAGCATCCAAGTCACAAGTTGGTACATTGCTAGCACTTAAGAAGCAGATTTTTCCACTGTCTCAGTGACCTCAATCAGTATTACAGGGGCAATTTTCATGGAAGAATGAACAAATTCTCTTGAAGCTTGTGAGCAAATTCTCTGATGTGCAACACTTGAACAAGCTCTCCATCATAATCAGTGATGCATTTTGCCTTTTTTTCACCTCCTCCTTCTGAAACAAATATTTATTTTAATGGTCTGTAGAAAGCCTCTCTATTTAGGTCTCATAATGCTCTCACATAGTGTGTTGATAAAGTATGATAGCATGCCTCTGTCTTTAGAGGCTTCCCTAGAAGATTCCTATAAAATGAAGCTGCTGGTAATTTTAAATGATCTTCTGTAGTTCTTTCTTTTAAGTCTAAGGTACATAGTCCTTGTGTTGGCCTGCGCAAGGACCAGTGTTATAATCTCCATCCAAATTATTCCTATATGAGACAGAATCTTTTTATACATGCTGCTTGAAACAAATCTGACAGTAAGTTATATAGAGAGACTATAGAATCTTGTAGCAGTTCCCATGACTTCTTGAATAAGCCACATCATTATGATTATTAGAGTGTGTCTACACATTGCTGTGCTTTAGTACTTCCTAAAGCACAGTGTAGTACAGGCTGTTACTGTGCCATGCACGTGGCACCTGGTTAGATTTCACCGCTACATCACTGTAGTAGTGTAATATACCAGGGGAGCGTTCCACTACAGTGACGCAGCTGGTGTTCATGTGTAGACTTGCGTGATTGCTACATTGCCATAGCTCACCGTACAGTGATGTAGTGTGTCACTATGTTGCCATAGGGCAACATGTAGATGTGACCTTACAGATAGGAGTGGAGGCAGCAAATGCTTCCTTTTATATTGCTGAGTATGATAGGAGTTAGGCATTTTTCCTGTTGATCCAGCATCAAACTAGTACCTCAGAACATTGGTCTGGGGCATGGTACTGTTGGAAGGCACTCTGTTCCAAAGTACAAAGATAACATCCTGACTGTTCCTAAAGGTGCTTTGGTACTTTTCACAAGAGTAGAATAACTGAAATAAATAATCCAATTGTATATATGAAAAAATCCAAAACAGACCAAATCAAAATAATTTTGTCATAAGAGGGGTAAGGAAAGCTTTAAATATATAAGGTATTCAGATATCACAGGACTAAGCACAGTATGAAATGAAAGCTAGTTGGGTAAGACTGTCCTACCATCTTTGCTATGGCTGTTTTAGGATAGAAGTTACTCTAGAAACCTGAAGAATTATAATATGAAGTGTTAGGCTTGGATTCTTATGTCCAAGCACAAAGCAACATAACTGGGGGGGTCCTGTATGTGCGGGCCGCCTCCCGATCCCGTCCATGTCGCCATGTGCGAGCCGGGAGCGATATGCGGACCCGTCTTTGCGCACGCGGGCTATGGCCAGCAGCCCGGGCACATGGGGTCAGAAGGGACCGCGCCGCGGCAAGGCACGCACGGGCTAGAATTAGTCACAGAGGCGTAGTGGTTGATTCAAAGATTATTTACTTACACCCAAGATGGTCGCGGTGTAGGCTGGACAGTTTCCCAGGTTCAGCTCCGCTTAAATCCTCGTTGGAGGACTACGACAAATTCGGTTCTTGGGCCCCGGAGTTGTTAAGGCTCCGCGGGTTCGGCAATTTCTTTCCCACGGAGTTGTCGAGGCTCCGTGGGTTTGGTTCGGCTCTCTGGCCCCGGAGTTGTTAAGGCTCTGTGGGTTCGGCAATTGAGTATATAGGATAGGGATACGTCTAGGATTGCGCTTAGCGACGGGGAGAGGCCAGAGGCTGTTTAGACCTCTGTTGCCTTCTTAAGAAATGCATTGGGTTCGTAAGGATCCACAGCGCTTAGAGATCTTCGCGCTCTCCCTCTCGGACTCCAATTGCTTTCTCGCCAACTTGGGCGGAAACCACCCAAGCTCTTTATATGGCTAGCAAGCCAATTGCTAGCCGCCACGTGTGCATAATTTAACACAAGCCAATAATGGGGTTCGAATTAAAATACAAATGGCAGGAACTCCTTTGCACCGTGCATTTCTGAGATGCAAAAGAAATGCACCATGCAAAGAAAGCTATAAATTGGCAGGAAAATTCTCCGTTGCACCCGAGTTCTCCTTTGCAGCAGAAAACTCCACTGTGCAAAGAAGCTGCAATTTGGTGGGAAAATAATTTAGCAGTGCCGAAGCGCACACAAAACAAAAATCACAACTTTGGGTTGTGACACTGTACACATGCAGGTAAAGGTGTGATGGGCTCTAATATATGATGCATACAGTCACGCCTCCTGCCATGCTACACATGCATGGCAGGAGGCATGATTGTAGGACTGTGCATTAGATCTCATTTTGCCTTATCGCTGGTGCAGGTGGAGCCTGATTCTGGTAGCTTAGCGGGGTCCCAGCTGCAGGGGAGGCCCTGCTACATGTGCAGATTAAACTTTGATAGCAATACTATCTATAAAAGGAGTATACGTTTTTGAGGTTCAAAACCTTATAGTTGGTTCAAGCTTTTTATGGCATGATAGGTACTTTGTACCGGTAGCTGGTCTCAGGGTAATTGCACAATTAACATGTTGAGTTACCAGTTAACATTAACCAGTTAATTGTGCAGTGCTTATAACATGTAGAGGAAGCCTAATTATGCAATATTTGACCTAAGTTGTTAAACCTTATGAGCAAAATGCTATAAACAGTAGCTATCAAAGTAACAGAGAATGCCATGGTAATTTTCTAATAGTAAGGGGTTTTTTTATGATTCTGTCACTTAGCTAGAAAGAGAATAGCTGAAGATATTGAGATTTGATTTTCCACACTGAAAATGAAGTAGTTTAACTTGGTCCTTTACCACTGTTTTATAAGATCCCTTTGGTTGTGAAGATATTATAAGATTTCTTTGGTTGTGAAGGTTTTTTTGTATGCAAAAATATTCGTCTGAAATGTAATATGTATCATTAAACTGAGGAGACATCATTTTATACTTGTAAAAAAGTAACACCAAGCTAGGATCTGTTGATAGGTTTTTAATGAAATCTGTATGTGACTAAAGCCAAAATAACTGGCATTTATGTACAGGAGTCATGGGGTTGAGAAGATAAATTCATAGTTAAATCCTAGGGTGTGTGTAGACAAAATGGGAACCCTAAGTTGAAGTGGTGGGTTTTAAAAAACACCACTTCAATTCAGGGCTGATTAAACCCCCATGTCATGCACACACCCCGCTGACTTACCTGCCTCTCTGGCGGGGAGGGAAGAGTGAGCTGCTGGCAGGTGGAGTGGTTCCTGGCCTGGGGAAGGGGCTGGTGCTTTTTGCTGGTGCTGGTGAAGGGGCTGGTGCTTCCCTTCACAGCAACGGCAGCACCCCCCCCCGCCCCAGGCAGCACCTACCCACAGGCACCCAGCTCAGGTTGTCCCGGGGGGCACTGCAGCCATGGAGGGAAGCACTGGGCCCCCCATGAAGCTCAGGCAGACTCTGGGGGAGGGGAGGAAGGATCAGGCTTGTCGCTTTTCTTGGGCGAAGGCTGCTTTCCTGGGCTGCTGCCAGGCTGCCTGCAGAGCATCCTACAGAACCGCAGAGCTGCACGGAGCCCGGTGCTTCACTCTGTGGCTGTAGGGGCAGCAAATTCCTTGAAGGAGTTTTAGTTCACTGTGCCCCAAGTCATGTAAGGCACATTATGGCACCGAATTTCCTACAGCGGCTGGAATTAATGCGCAATATGCTGCTGAGGCATGCAAACACCAATACCATTTAAGCGGTGCAAAAGCATTTAGCCCACTTTAAAGTGTCATGCACACACGCCTCTCATTTTGTCTACATATGGCCCTAGACACCAAGGAGAAGCACAGTTGCTGCTTCTCCAAACCTACAGCTCCTTCATGCCACATGCAAAGCGTATTGCAACTATTGAGTACTGGAGCAGTATCCCAGATCTTTTTTTCCTCCCTTTGCCCACTTGCTGCCTATCTCCAGTATGGCCCATGAAGCTAGCTTATTTGTGGTTAAGTCAGTGACTCCTTTAAGATATACTGGTGTACCCCAGCCTGCAGAACCACTCTGCCCACAACCACACAACACAAGCCCACTTGATTTTAAGCACAAGAGAGCAAGTTTCACCTTTAGTGTATCCATATACCCCTCTTGGGTTATTGTTTTCCTTGCCCTCATCCTTCTGTGAATATTGTTTTACTATAAAGTTTAATGTGAAATGTGCATGTATAATATGGCATCAGCCATAGTGGACCTTATGGAAGGCCGTTACTAGCAACAATCCTGATGGAAATCAATTTACTAATGGAAACAGAATGGTTTTCTGACCTCTCTTTAAACTAGATATAGTTTCACACAGCCCTCTAAGTAGTGTTATATAGAATGAGTTATTGTGGTCATTCTGAACCCTCTGACTGTGATACAGGTGTGCATCTGAGCACATGCTATTTCATGTAATATTTAAAAAATTACTTTTTATTATAATTAATATTAAACAGTATTGCTTTTTATTATAATTAATGCATTCTCAGCAGTCAAGATAATGCAAGAATACAAGCTTTTACTAAGAAAAGCTAGGTTGATAATTGCGTATTTCTTATTATGACACCTGATATATATTTTATTTGTTATCATGTAAGTGTTGTTTATTCTTAAGTTTTGTTGCCTGCTAATGAAGAAATAATTATGCTACTAAACAGGTTTTGACCTTCATTCTCCTGAAATTTTAAATTAAAGGTACCAGGTACCCACTCCTGAACACACGTAGATGCTGTATTGTATTGCATTAGAAATTGTCCCTTGTTTGTTTCAGCTTTGATCTGAAACCACATTTTTCTTTTGCTTTTGCTTTTAGTAGCTAAGGATGTCAACATTTTTTTTGATGAGTTAGAAGGAGTAAACAGCCCTTCCAAAGATGATGACTCTCTGCTCCACCATGGTAATTTGACAAGTACTTCTGATGATGCCAGCAGATTGGAAGCAGCAGGAAAGGTAAGAGCCCGCAGACCAAGCCATATAAGAAATAAATGTAATTGGGTTGGAAGTTTCATTCACTGCAGTTCTGTTCTTATCTAAACCTTTGGTGTTGGGAATACTTAAAAATGACAACTGCTCTAAAATTATAAAACTGAAATATCATGAAATATTTTGGTTTTGAAAGTGGCTTTATTTCATCTGGTCATTCATTAGTCAATGACTTGTGACTTCCTCAGAAGCTGGAGGGTATGGTCCTTATAAACCATGCTTCTTGTGCTAAAGTAGTTCCCTGTAAAGAGTCCTTATGTGGTTTATGTATTAAGCTACAGTCTGTTCATCTGAATGCTTTTGTTTCCAAGGGCCTCTGTACAGCATGTTGTTTTTTAGCTCCCACTATCAATGCTATGTCCCAGAGTGAAGGAGCAGAAACAAGAGAAAAAGGTTTACTTCCATCAGCCATAGGCTGCAGAAGGCCAGGGCTAATGGGGCTTAGCCCCCCCAAACACAAGCAGCCTGGATGCAGGCTCCAGGTGGCTGCAGCAGGGCAGGGGGAGGGGCACATACAGACACAGAGAACAGCTAGAGCCCGCAGGCAGCTGGGAACTCAGCCCAGCCCAGCCATGTGTGAAGCAGTGCCCAGCAGGTAAATGTGTGGACGGGAAGGGGTGCGGGGGAGGAAAGGGGCATGCAGTGGGGGAGAGATCGAGGTCCCTGCAGGGAGGGGTGAATAGGGCCCCAGGGCAGCTCATGAGATGCTTGGAGCCTGAGCAGCTTGTCCAGGGCCATGGGGGGGCTTCCGCCACTGTGCCTACCCCTGCGGCCGACACAGCGGGCATGTGCCCCCTAGGTCTGTGTGTGCAGTGGAGGTGGCTGCCACTGCAGGCTGCGCTCTGCACCCCGCTGCTGATGCCCCAGGAGCGGCGCAACGCCACATGCCTCCTGCGCACTGGCTGTGCCACCTGCCTTAAAAGATGAACATGACTTGCAAAAAATCCAAGCATCTACAACTTCCAGTGGGAGTTGCAGTTCACAGCATGTTTGGGAGGAAAGCTCCTTTTTCAAATCTGCTTTCAGTTGCCTAAACTTCAGAATTTTAATTTGAAAAATTGGGCTGAAACTTTTTTTCTTTCCTTTATTTCACTTTTGTGTGCTTTTGTTCCTCAGGGAATGTGATCACTCTCTAGCTCTACTCTCTAAAAATATTCAGATCCATAGAAAAAAGAAGGGCCGTGCTAATTGTGGTGGGTGCCCTTTTCAAGGAATTAGTTTTTGCTTTTGGAAAGCAAGTCACTTTGTGGAGCACCATACAGGGGGAGTTGGATAAGTTTCTTGTTCTGGAAAAAAGGCTGAATTATTTAAATATTTAGATGACTAACTTAAGCTACAGAATTCAGGCAGTACCTGATTTTTGTGTTTGCCTTGTAATCAGGCTCATTTATCCTTCTTCCTTGTCTCTCTTCTCAAAACTCCTCTTATCGCTTTCATAGTTCTGCCTTTGCATTATGATAGGACAAGGGATTTCTGTGCAGCATTTTTGATCACATAAGCCAAGGCCTCTATCAGATGCATGCAGGTGAGACATATATATGTGGGACATAAAGGGGTTAAAATAAAAGGGGAATTTGAGAATAGCAAGGTAAAGGGGACAGGTCTGAAATGTACTGCTGTTAATTTAACAGAAGCTGCCATTCTTTCTTCCCCTTTAATAATATCCTTGTGCAAGAGCTGTGTGTTCTACAAAGGGGAAGGGTGAATGAAAGGGGGAATCTATTAATTTGCTTTCCCCTTTAAGCAAGCGTACACCCCGATAACAATAGCTGAGGAGGAGGGCAATGCTACTCAAATAATCATATATAAATGATATGTGTACATGTGAGAAAGAGAGAGAAAGTGTTAGAGAATAGGAAGAATATTCCTAGAAAATGCAAGACACCAGCTTCCTTCTGAAGACAAAAAAGATATGCTATTCAGAAGAGTTTGTGAGAATCCCAGGCATAAAGCATGTGACGATTTAATACGATTTAAGAGTATTCAGAGATGGTGTGAGCTCCCACACAGAGAAAACTTACCCCTTCCTACTTTCATTTTGATCCTGGATTTTTAGTATGGCGCTGGGAAGTGATTAAGTTCACAGGGCATCTTATCTCTTGAATGCATTCATATGTGGCCCAGTCCTAAAGTTAATATTCTAGTGATATAATTCAGGAGTTTTTTCACTGAGTTTCTTACCATGTAGTTACCTGTAAAATCAACTCATCACAGTTAGCAGGCATCCTTATGGTTTCTTATAACATTTTGTGAGTTGATGAGTAAAAAGATTATTTCCCCTACATGCCAAGTTATGCACATGCTGTACCTTTAGGATCTCAATGCAAAACTGTGCTCTTTCTGGTTCTGACATCACTGTCTTCCATACAGATTCTACAGATGGAGTTGAGTCAACATTTCTTTTACTGATGCACAAGTCAAAAGAGCATCCAGCTCACCCTTCTTGTCTGGAAGCTAGAAAACTGTCTTTTCTTTGTTCCATAAAATTCAGCTCATATCTAAATTGTTTCACTTCTCTAACCTGCATTGCTCAAAGATGGGTTTTTAAGCACACCAATACCATAACAGGTTGTGCTCATTTAAGTCTAAGGCCAGGGCCATACCATCACCTGTACTGAATACTTGGACTTACTCTAGTAGCTGAAAGATTGGGAGAGAGAGCTGGGCTCCATTCCCCATAACCACATCCATTGGACCCAGCACATGGCAGCACACCATCTTTCTCTCTCAACTCTAGTGGTGGCTGCTCTGTGGGTCCCTGGCCATAGGCACATTTGTCCATCTCTTAGACCTGCCCTTTCTGTGAAGAAGAGGTGGAGGGGACTCTTCCATGCCTTCATGGACTGCTCCAGCTGCAGCCACTCTTTCTTACCCTCAGCACCCTCTTTGGTTTGCTGGACTTGGACCTCTCCAAGACTGTGTACATATTCTTTATTCCTTACCAAGTGACTGAAGGGAGTGTAATATGCCTAGCTGGTTTCCTGCTGGGCCAGGTCAAGAGGGCAACCCTGAAAAGTCACAGAGACCAGGTCACAGGGGAGGGTGCCGACAGTGCCCAGGAACTCTTGCTTTTTGGTGCAGGTATGCATCACATTTCAGTTTGGATGCTTCACCTTGCAAGAAAAATGTGAACAAGTTTGTGTCACACTGGGCTAGCAAGGATCCACTCTGCAAGGTGGAAGCTAGGCAGTTAATCCTAAATGAAGAGCATGGCAGGGAGGGGGTTTCAGTCTCTAATGATATGGTGTTTTTGATGCCAAAAAGTGTTTCATGCTTGGCCCCTGGGAGGATTACATTTTTTCATTTTCACCTTTTTGTTTTTAATATTTTTGTAATAAAGATTTAAAAATTCCACAAAAAACACACTCTCTCTCTCTCTCTCTCTCTCTCTCTCTCTCTCTCTCTCTCTCTCCCCCCCCCCCCCCCGCCCCCACATGGAAAAGGAGCTCTCCAACTTCTGGGGAGAGGAGAAAGAGAGCTGAGTCAGACTGAGCCCAGACCCCCATGATCCTTGCCAGAATCCTCATCTGTGTCTTCTGCCCATTCTCCTCTTTAGGGCAAAAGTTTCTTTTGTGGTACCAGCTACTGTAGCTAGTCTGTTAGTTCAAATAAGAGATGTCTGTATTGCAATACTATACCTTTTAATGTAATATATGAAGGAAGAGGGCCAATGCTGTAATACAGTTAGTTCTTACCAATTTCTTTTAAAATGGAAAATGCATGAAAATTATTCTAAAATGAAATTATTATTTTGCAAAACCAAGCTGCAAAAAAATAAGTTATGGAGTGTCACAAAGTGTTTTCTGTGCAATCTCAGTTCAGCTCCCTTATATATATATCATCACTAATAATCAATAATAATATAGGCTTTTTTTCCATATGGCTGCTGAGCCATGCAATGCACAGGAATACAATGAAGTTTCACAGATAACCATATATTTGGCATTTCCTAACTTTTGAGTACTTGATTTCACAACCTAAATATTTTATTTTAAATAGAGAAAAACCTTGTGCAATTATAATGCATATTACAGTAACACACACTAGCCCATTGGGTGGGCAATTCTTTTGGCTGAAGGGCCACTTATGGAGTTTTGGTGAGCTGTTGCAGGCTGGGTCAGCACCACCACCCCTTCACACACAGTTGGCACCACACCCTACCCAGTGCGACAGCTCACCAAAAACCCTCTGCTCCACATTCAGCTGGGAGGATGGAGTGGGGCCATGGGTGGGTGGGTGGGGAGCACCATCCAGGAGTGGAATGGGAGAGTGGGACCAGGGCAGGGCCAGGGTTGGGGCTGGGATCGGGGTCCCTGGGTGATGACAGTATCAGGCTGGAGCCTGGGGCAGAACTGCAATCTGGTCCCCACACGCCCCTGTGATGGGTGCCAGTTCTGCAGGCAGGGGCAACAGGGAGCAGATTGCAGCTCTACCCCAGGCCTTGGCCCCACACTGTCACTACCCAGTGATCCCAGGGTCTCCATGAAGACCAGCCTGAGACCTGCATGGGCAGGACATGTAGCTAGGTGGGCGTGGGGGTGGGAGGGTGCAGAGCAGCATCCAAGACTGGGACAAATAGGTGGAGCGGGGCCAGAGGATTTATGATTTTTAAACAGAGAAAACCAGGATCCCCTCTCATAACCAAAATCAAGGTAGTAAACTTATACTAAGCACTAGGGGTGTGCAAAGTGGACCCTATTTGATTCAAATTTGGATTCAACCCAAATCAGGGATAGTGATTTGATTTGTTGATTTGGATCACTGTCCCTGATTTGATTTGGCTGAATCCAAATCTGAAGATTCGATGCTGATTTGGAGAATCAGCGATTCAGACACAGACACAACTTTAAAAAAAATTTTCTATATACCTAGTGGTAGCAGGCACAGCATGTGATCACTGTGATGCTGAGGTGCATGGAGCATCCCACAGGAGTGCAGAGGGCCCTCCATGTGCTCAGCAGTGAACCCAGAAGTGGACTGGAAGTCCACTTCTGGGTCCAGTAGGGAGCACATGGGGGGGGCACCCACACCTCCCCAGCCCAGCGATTGGCCACGGGGGGACCCTAAGTGCCCCCCCAAACCCAGGAGGTACCAGTCTCTGAGGCCGGAAGGCATGGGGCTGGGGGAGCCCGCACACTCCCTGGAGGACCTGGAAGTGATCTGCTACTGAGCGCACTGGGGAGCCCCCCGCACTTCTGTGGGACACTCCATGTGCCCCAACATTGCAGCATTCACAATCCACCTGCTACCTAGAGTTGTGTAGAAAAAGCATTTAAAGCTGCTTCTATGTCTGACTCTCCGAATCTCTCTCAATCAATTCAGAGGGTTCCAATTCAATTCAGAGAGATTAAAGGGTCCTCTGATTTAATTTGGATTTGGAGATTCAGCCGCCAAATTGGGCCAAATCTCTGCCAAATCAAATTGGGGACCAAAGCTTCGCACGGCCCTACTAAGGACCCCTGCTGGGAACAGAGAAACTTCATCACAAACGGAACTTACCCCAACCCTCCCTTCAGTTGGAATGTACATGAGGCTAATGTGAACCTCTGTCACCACAAACTCAAGGATAAAAACATCACAAAATCAACAGCTTACCTTTGTCTCCACAGAAATTCTACTGGTTGACAGAGTCAAGCAACATGTACTATGTAGGTGATAGTAAAATGTAAAAGCAAAAAACCGGTCATATTCCCCTTCAGCATTGAACTAAATCTTTAAACAAATGGGAACTGAATCTTCTAGATCTAGATATTGGGTCACCTGCTAACAAAACACCAAAGAAGTTGACTGGGTTTTTTTGTTTCTAGGGTTGCAACCACCTGAACAGACCTATTAGCCACAGGCAAATACAGAGTACATAGACTGTGAGTTACCGTCAGTCTGGTAAATTCAGTCAGAAGACATGGTATCTACACCAGTTCTGTAATTTGAATATTAATCTACCAGGGTCATGCTGGAATGAGAACAGAATTATAATATTCTCTTCTTCCTCATGGAAGTCCTACTGCCTTTACAGGAGGATTCTTCCCACTTGCCTTCCCAGAATGCTCACCTTCTTAAATCATCATCACCATTGGTTGGAGAAGCTTCTATTCTTTCTCTTTTTCTTTGCATAAAGACATTTATGTTAGATATTCAGGCTTCAACCCTTGTTCCAGAATAACTCCATCTTCTATATTATTGCATATGTATGTTGGAAGTTGCTCTCAGATTTCTTGAGTTACATGAAATTTCAACTTCTCTGTCTCTCCTGCCTAATTTAATGCCCACCTAGTGAGGCCTACTTGTTTTAATTTTGGGTCAGTATCCTTTCCACTTACGTGTAGACCATCAATCTAGAAGTATGGTGTGTAAGATGTTAAACAAAGCCATCGTTTTTAAGCAATGTCACACACAAACTACTTAAAGGCTTAGCCTACTTTTACTAATTGCTTTCTATTCTGTATTGGATGGCATTAAAAAGTTTAAGTTCTTAAGTAACAACTGTTAGGACAATGACCAAAACTGAATAGAAACATTAAAATATTTTGCCTTTCTCTTCACAGGGAGAACATGATAAAAATAAATCCAATGGGCTGTATTTTCGAGATGGCAAATGTCGGATTGACTACATTCTAGTGTATAGAAAATCCAACCTACAGACAGAAAAGAGAGAGGTATTTGAAAGAAATATAAGAGCAGAAGGATTACAAATGGAGAAAGAGGTAAGATAATTTCCCTGATGAAAACGTTCAACTAAATTTGGAGTCTAAAGTTGTCTAAATGTAACCTGCTTATATTGCCAGGGTAGTGGAAAGGAGGCTAAGTGTAAATGAAAATTGAACATATTTTTAGGTCAAAATGGACCACTTTACATTATCTTGTTTGGCTTACTGCATAAGACAGGGCATAAAATTTCATTGGTACTTGCTACAGTAAAGAGAAAAATTTCTTCCACCCTTTAAACCTTAAGTGATACCAAATTTGAAAACTGCGGGCAACATACATGGGTATTAGATAATTCTTTCTGATAACACATTCTAACTACTATGAAAAGGTAACAGAAAAAGGTAAAAAAAAATCTTACATGAAAATTACTGTATGAATTTAATTTTAAATCATCTGCAAAGATAAAAAGGTCATAGATATGTAACCAGTTTATTAACATGGTATGAAACATGGTTGAACCTATCTTTCTTCAAAACTGCTTGTTCTCCTAAGTTTGTATATAAGAATGGAGGTAAGGGGCTTGAGGCTTATTACCACTCAGTGGCCATGTCCAGATGAGCGTAGCCATGCAGTATGTGGCACTGCAGACATATCTGTGGTGCCACATACCACACATTCAGTTGTTCTCCACACTGCAAGGGAGCAGTGTGGAGGAGTTTTTTGACCCCTGGATATCCAGGGTAAAGCCAGAGTAAACTACTCCCAGGCACAGCATCTACACGTGTACACAGGACAGCAGCACTTTGAACCAGGGTGGAGCACCTTACTCCAGGGCCACTCTTGCCTTGCTGTGCCCTGGGCTCCAGATGGTAGTGGTGGTTGGTAGAGAAGCTGGCTGGGGCATGAGGGTGCTACACATGTGAAGCCATGTGACTAGGCAGCAGGCAGGAGTCTGGGCCCCTGCTGGCTGGGCTAACCAGGTGCAGTTTATGCCCACCGTCAGCATCTACATGTACATTTAATCACAGTTAACTATTCTGCCATAACATAGTACTGTCCCTGACAGTGCTATCTTATGATAGAGTAAATTAGTTTACTGTGGCCTAATACCATTGCACATGTAGATGGCAATGCTTTACTCCTCAGTCAATTGGTCTACTCTGCAGTAAAGCACATGTGTAGACACAGCCAGTGAGAAAAATACTTAGTGCTTAGCCTTACTTGGGCCTAATCTATTTGCACGTATACTGGTATGTGGGGAACAAACCAAACAAAAATTAGACCTGCAAGAATTCTGTCTGTGCACTTGAAAATGTACATATCCCATCAAAATGCTAAGTCCCCTTAATATTTTTACTGAATGAACCTGCATACCGCCTAGGGGTTATTATTAAACTATCACCGTGTACCAATGGCTATTGCATCAGGGATTTGGGGAAATGGTAGTGTTGGAATGATGTTGCTTAATTGGGGAATTATTTTCATGTCACAATAATTGGTAAATGTTTTTGATGGCAAATATTTTTAATTATTGTTTGTTTAATGTGTTTCTTACTTGCACTCACAATGACCTCTTAGGTGCATCAATCTTATCTCATGTTCAGCAAATACAGAATTATTGCTATCACTTTTGAGCTCCAGTTCATAACAGTCTAACCTGATTCCAGCACATGAAATCAAAAGTTAACCTGAACAAATATTTTAGTAGTTCCTGAAATCTTAATAGTGCAGAAGATGAATGTGTAAGGAATCCTCATTAATGAAGAATTTAAGTATTTGTTTCTATTTTGATAAATCTGAACCACATACATTTTAGATTTATTATAGGACTGAGGCCAAAGCACTTTGTGGGCATGTCTACATGTTTATTAATGCATCATAATCAGCACCACTGTGCATTAGTGAGCAGTTTTTAAGTGGCAATTAATGCCCATTAGACTAATTCTACACTTTTGCCAGCTGCACTAATGCGCAGTAGAATTAGTCCAATGGGCATTAAGCATCTCGTCTAGACATGTCCTGTTTGTAGTATTAGGATACTTACAGACAGCGTTTTGCATTGGGAACCTGTCAGATAGTGGCTTTGATTTGCTTCAATTCTTTTTGCTTATGCAGTTGCACTCTTTTGAACTATTCTGCCCATATTAGCTTTGTTTTTTATAGCCTAGCATACATGGGTTCCCTGAATATTCTGCATCTTACTATTCATTTCATTTTCTCCTGTTATGCAGTTGACATGCAGTTTTATTTTTCATTAATCCCATTTGGCCCTGGTGTGACTTCTTGCTCAAATCAGTAATTGGAAATTTTCCAAAATTCAGAATGATCAAGATGAGGTTATATTTTGTGGTTCTAGTAAATGCTTTTAAAAATCTAAATTGATAATCTGTTAAGACATATAATTTGACTTTAACTTAAATGCAGAAACACATTTTTATAATTAGTCTATGAATTAAATTATAACCATAGTTACAAATCAGTAACTTACTGTACACTAGCACCAATTTAGAATACTTAGATTTGAACTCAGTGGACCAGTTCATTTATGCATGGATCTTGTCTGTTTCAATTGCTTTGTGTTTTTCCTTTTGGTCAGAGACCTAAATAGATCTGGCTTTCAGCTCTTGACTGTATAAATAGCAGCTTTGGATCCTAACTGTTGCAGTTGCATAATGAACAGCATCCAGGGGGCAAGATTTTACAACTGTAGAAGTAGGGGGAGCTGTCCCTGGTGCTGACCATACATTCAATGGGAAAGATTATAGTAGTGTGTGAAAGCTGGAGTGGTATGAAGAATTTTTATTTAGTAATTTTGTATTTGTCTACTGATTCTACATGATGTTGGTTTTGGATGGCATACACCCCTTCTATTGTACAGGCTTACATTCAAAATAAAGAGCAGAAAAGAATACTTGAGGGGGTATTTACACTTTGACTTTGAAATCATATTCTGCAGAAACCACAGAAAGAGGATATCTACAATAGTGGCTCCTCTGACAAATACCAGAAAGAAAAAAACCCAAATACTTACGAAGGCAGGTTTTGAATCAGACAGATAAATGTTTACTCAACAGCACAAAGAGCGATATAAATGTAAAATGAAATCACAAATAAAAAGAGAACTGGAGGCCCAGCATCAAGATCATTAAGCTGACAAAAATTTAGACCGATGTTTGCTTCAGGCGGTGACAAAGATTATTAAGTAGCATTGTGGATGATTTTTATGTCACTTCTATATAAATATTTTAGTATCTAGTTTTGTTCTTTAATATATATTGAGTAGAGGTATAGGATTGTTGTCCCAGTTCAACATGGATCATAATTGACACACATTCATAAGACTGAGACATTCTAAGTAATTTAATGTAAATGATGGGCCATATTTACATTTTTAGGATCTTTCACTCAAGGTAAAGATGCTGTATTTTCTTATGAGTCATATTTTAATCTTTTCTGTGTTGATTTTTATCTTATCTTACATTGTCTTATAAATTATGTGGGTGGCTGTGACACATTGGCCTCAAGATTTCACACACTGATTGGTGCTGGTGGGGCGGTATTGGGAAAGAACTTTAGTTGGAAAATGAAATGCAACTACTTATACTTAAGAAACAGATCAATGATGAGACTGCTGCAAGTATGTCTCCTAGTAGGGTTTCAGTAGTTTTTTTTAATTAGTGCCTGGGAATCTTCCATAGCTTATCTGAGAGGAGTCTAATTGGAAAAAAGATTAGTGGAAGATGCAGCATTTAATAGCATCAACATACGGAAGTACTTGTATTTCAAAGCAAAATGATAACTCACAGGATACTTATGAATTCCAGGCTCTAAGCATGGAATTTTTCATTCTAATTCACTAATTATTATATTATCCATCTATGCTGGCCTATAGAATTGTTTTTGCTTATAGATATTAGTTTACAATAATTTAAAATATATCATTCATAAAGTAACTGAGAAAATTTAGCTGCATAGATTTATAATCATGCAAACGTTTTTGTATATTGGATTTGGCTGAATCATTTGAGTGCTATGCTGTGCTTGATATGTGGTATGGTGGGGAAGTAGAAGAACTCAAGTGACTTAAAGCTACCTTGAGCCTTCCCAGTGTGGGATCCTACACAGTGCCAGGAAAAACTGAAACAGCCCCCAGGCCTAAGTTAGAGTAGCCTGTCCTTTGCTGCTTATTTACTGTCTGGAATCTCTGCACTGCTATGTGCTGAGCCCAAATGAGCACATCCCCAGCACATCCTGTATATAAGGGGTCTTTAGAAGGAAGTATCACAGTTGTCTTCTTCAGTTCTTGAAACAGAAAGATTCTTCCCAACTAGATCTCAACCTTTTAGAATTTCTGTGCGCCCCTTTGGCACTTTTACCAGTTATAAAGGGGCTTAAAAGAGGCTAAGAAATCTCACTTTTTGTTTTTTATATACACTAGATAAATCCAATAATGTGACTCTAGTTACTTCACCTAAAATATTATAGTGATGAGTGCTTTTCAAATGCTAATAGAAATAGAAATGTTTTATGGCTAATCAAACGTCATGTGAATGAGAGCAATTTTAAGCCCTATATTTCAGTGTTGCTTGTCTGTTATTTTATGTGTTAATATATTCAGTAAAAAAAAAGTAATACAGTGATTTAAAACAAAACCATCAGAAGTGAAAAGGGACAAAGAGAATGATGATAAAAAGATTATTCTAGAGTAGGGGCTGAAGGATGACCACATGGAACAGTTCACTTGACCTCAACACTGGTGGCTTCAAGCAAAAGCTAGTTTTAGTTCTGCGGCAAGGTGGGGCTCCCTGCCTAGCCACAGTGCTAGGTTGGGCACGCCACCCACCTGACTCGCTTGCCATGCCTTGTTCTAAATTACTTAATAGTTGTTAATTAAGGTGGGAGGCTGCCCATTTTATGCCCCAATGCCAGGGGGCACTATCTGCAGCTCCAAACCTTCCCTACACTGCAGCCCATGCCTTGCATATGGCCAGATGGCATCCAGATGTTACAGTGCTCCCACCCTACAGCCGGACCAAGCTTAGGCTGCACCGTCAGA